AATCTTTTTGTGCACTACAAGGCTTCTACAAGGAGCCCAAGCGCAGTAATAAATGGACGCAAACTTTTCTTCAGGCAAGTTTAGGTGAGCACTGAAGTAGTAGTGACGGCAAAACCACTTTTGCCATATTCGTGCAAGAGCAAAAAAGTTAAGCTTAGCAGGGATCCGATCTCATGACCTGTTGCGTGATAGACGCGGAGGAAAAAGCTCCATAACTCCGTTCAGAGAATCGTTCTGCAAATTTCGAAGGCAGATTCGAGATCAGCGTCCAAAACCACGTCTAGTGAGCTACATCTCATTACAAATGGCCACTTCGACCTGACGACCTTCCCTAGTAAGATGTAGCTACTTGAATGTTACTATGCCTTCGAAGATAACATTTCAAAAAAACTCATTCTTACTGGTTTCGGAGTCGGCTCAGCTGCTGTCAGCGTGCCTTCATCCTGTAATACAACACATCTAGAACAGAGACCTCCACAGCTACGATCCGACTAGTTGAACGGGAACCGCGGAATATAACATAGTAAAGAATTTCATTCTTACCGGTTTCGGAGTCGGCTCAGCTGCCGTTAACGTGCCCTCATCCTGTAAAAAGAAAAAAATACATAGACGGCATTAATGCAAACTATCCCCTCAGAAGTGATTTTGGAAAAGAACTCCTTACTGGTTTCGGAGTAGGCTCAGCTGCTGTCAGCGTGCCCTCATCCTGCAAAGGAAAACGTCCTCCGCAGTGGCCAGATCTTATTTTCATTACTGTGCGCTGCGTACTACGGATACGACTTGCTTACGTGCGTACAACAAAGTCGAAGAAAGAAAGAGTGAACATGATGTGGTAACCGGAATTGAGACTTACAGGTTTCGGAGTCGGGTGAACTGCTGTCAGCGTGCCTTCGTCCTGCAAGAAGCACATGATTAGAACAAACAAAACTGTTCACATTTGTTGCCATAGTACCATCACTTAACGTGAACTATGCCTTCGAAAATGAAATGTTAACGAATTTCAAGCCTTACAGGTTTCGGAGTCGGGTGAACTGCTGTGAGTGTGCCCTCATCCTATAAAATTGTACTTTCAAACACACCAGATGACGGTATGCGTCATTAGCTCAAACTATGATCAGGATTCTGAAGTATGTCATCATTGGCGTCAGTCGCTTATGGGGTACCTCAGTGACTGGATGAATCCAGATGTTCCTTCGTTATTGGATCACGGATGGACTTAATGTGTAAAGGCACAAATCGCAACAAGCCAAGTTAGGGTAGTTTTTGGCATTTAAAGTGAAAAACTTCTCAGGTACAGATATTGCATCGTTCATATTAATGATAAATGTGGCTGAAAGGTACATATCAAGGGCACTGCAGGCTTACTACTTAGGGACATGCATGCCAGACGTATGGGTAACCACACCGCCTGTGTGTAATATGGTAATGGAAGCAGTGTGAAGAAACGTGATAAGATAGAAAATTATAACAAATCTCATAAAGGAAGTGGCTTGACAAGGAAATACTACTTGTGCGGTTCCAGAATGAGTGCGACGGCGCTGCGATCATCATAAGTTGCACTTATATATGGTACCTCACGGTGCGGAAGGGTCGGTTAAGCGCCGGATCTATTATCTTTGAAGAC